CAATCTTGCTAAAACTATATTCTTCTTCTATCTCATGATGCCATAACCTTCATTGTCTTCTCCTAGACTTGGTTCCCTTCCAAATTTTGGATCCCCAAATTGTGTTTCAATAGTAGGCATAATATCCTTGCAACAGTTGTACTTTTTACCCATGAATTTGCACCCCTCTTAAGTCTAAAATATAATAGAATTGTGGGACACTTGATTTGATTTAAATTATAAAAGAAAGTTTACATTTAGTGCATTATTTACATTTTTTTAATTATACTTTCATTAAATTAAGAATATAAATTAAAAATCATTTATTATGAGTAAAATCTCAAACACAAAATAATAATAATTTATGATAATTTAAAATAAGAATCACCACTTTTCTTAATTAGTTGTTGCTCATATTTAAGACGGAAAGGAGTAAAATGTCATAGTAAATTTAAATTATAAAAACCATTGAATTTTATTATATTTTAATTAAAATGCTATAAAATTGTTTAAATATAGCTTTCAGCATATACAATCACTCATCACCCTTTGGTGAAGTTGGGTACAAATAGATACAGACTAACTGAATTTAGAAAGGCGCCCGGGGGAAGAGTTGATCCTTTGAGTGAAAGTAAACTCATATTGACCTTTTTAACCCCCTAAAAATAAAATCGTTTTAACTCTGTGACATCGCATTCAATTGTTTTTAGGGAAAATAACAAAAAAAAATACCTTCAAGTGATATAAATAATAAATTGATCCCTCAAAATGTCATAATTTCAATAAAATTTTTAGGGACCTCTTTGTTAATCATTTTTTTAAGAAAAAATCATTTTATTCTTGATGAAAATAACAAGACCTAATCACAACTTTTATTTGAGAAATCAAAACTTTTGTTCTGTAAATTATAAAAATTAAACAAGAAATCACAACTTGTTAAATGTAATTTTTGTCATTAAAAAATAAGTCTCAGTCACAATTTATATTTAAAAAATAATAATTTTTGTTCTATAATCTTAAGAATCAAATAAAAATCACAATTTGTCAAGTCTAATTTCTATCATTGAAAAATATGTTCTCAAAATAATAAATTTCATTTACAACTTTTGCTTATAGAATAACAACTTTTCTTCAAAAAATTATAAAAATTAAATAAAAAATTATAATTTGTTAATAAGGGTAAAATGATCTCTTTCTAAAAAAAGTTGTTGACAAAATATTTTTATAAATTTTATTAGTATTATAACATTTTAAAAGATTAAATTATTATTTATATAATTCAAAAAAATTTATTATTATTATTTTTTGATTTTTATCAAAGGATAAGGCTAGATGACTTTATTATTCAAGGCCTTGACAAATCATTGTACATAATAATAATAATAATCTTCTGAAAGCTTTTCTCCCAGCCATTTTTTTAATTATACATGTGTTCTTGTATTAAAAAAAAATCTTATTCACTTTACTGTTAAATACTAAATATGAATATTTCTCTTGATAAAAATTCAAACTTTAACCTCTGTCGGTTTCCCAACTAATATTATCTGTATTTATATTGTAAAGCTTGATGGGTTTTACTATTCATCTGCAGTATTTTGAATAATGAACCTCCATCGAATTTTATTTTATTTTTATGGTGAGTTTATTTTTTAAATTTTATTTTTATATTATTAGAAGATGGGGGCTTATTATGGACTCATAATAGAAAATGGATAGTAAATGTGAGACTAAAATAAAAATCCTTGAAATTTTTATTTAAAAAATAAAATTAAGAACCTTTTATTTTTATCAAATGATTATATAACCTTAAAATTAATTACATAATTTGATTAGTTTTTTTATTTTTTTATGTAATTAGGAGAAGTTGAAAGAATGTAGATTAATTTTTCCTTAAGTTATAAAATAAAAACAAGTTGTTGTTTATATTTTTAAATAAAAATATTGTTATTTATTTTTTCTACTTATCAAAAATAAATGCACCAAGATTAATCATATAATTATGATTATTTTCATTATTATAGTTAATAATTTGAAAAAATTAATATTTTAGTCCTTTAACTTTTAACTTACTTATAACTTATTCCCTCAACTATAACTCACTGCGAGTTAGTCCTTCAACTATGACTGGCCTATGACTCAATCTCTCAACTTCTGACTCACTTATAATTTAGTCCCACAACTTTTGTTAATTCTCTTTTTTGTTTAACTTGTATTTCATATCAAAGAGTAAGAGGAAGGTATTTTATAGCAATATATGAGCATTTCTTTCATTCTTTTTATTTGATAAGGACAATTTAAAAAAATTAAAAAATAAGGACTATATTATATGTGAGAGTTGAAAGTTAAGGAATTGAGTTGCAGCGAATTATAATTTCGAAACTGAATTACAAGTGAATTAAATATTGAAAGATTAAAAAATTAATTTTTTCTAATAATTTTTAATTACCAGTACAATTCAATATCACACATTTTAAATGTTATTATTTTGATAATATCATCACATTAATATTTACTCAATATTTAACTTTTTTTCTTTGTTTGGTTTGAGGTTAATGGACAGAGGGAGAGAGGAGATCTGCATAAATTTGATTTCTTTAAAAAAAATAAGAACTGGAATTGTTTTTAATTGGTTTTTCTTACTCTTTTATATTACATTTTCTTTTTGTTAAGATTTTGTAGCACCGTTTGTCTTTTCTTTAAAATCTTCTCTCATTTTTCCTAATTAATTTAGATCCTTTCGCACTAAATAAAAGATTAATATTCCATATACCGCAAGGGGTATAAAATCTAATCTAGTTTTAATAGTTCCTATAAAGCTGTGCTCATACTAGAAAAGGAAACCAAAGTTCACCTTAAAACCAATATCTCACCCAATTGTAAAACTGCACTTACTTCTATAGACAGATGATAGGTTAATCTGCGAAAACAACATTTTGATCCCATATAAGAGCTAAATAATGACACCATCCGCCTTCAAAATTTCAAAATGGAAAATATATAGATGGTCTGTTATTGTCGCCCAACGCACCAGTTTGCCAGTCTTTTCAACTAAATGCTAAAAAAATACTACCCTCGTTCGAAAATATAAAATATTTTTAATTAAATTTTATTTTTTAATAAAATAATTATTTATTTTTAAATTAATTTTATATTTTTATATTTATCTCTATTAAATACCCTATAATAAATATAAAATTATTGTTAATAGGGGCATTTTTTAAAAAATACAATAATTACACTTTAAAAAACAAAAAATATCTTACATTTTCGAATATCCAACTCTTTAAAAAATGTCTTATATTTTTAAATGAGGGAGTATAATTTTCAAAATATTCATCATAAATATTTCTAAATTATAACTTTTCAACCTAATTGCTGTATTATAGAAAATAAAATAATTGAGTACGTTTATTCAGCGTTTGATTATTATTTATTGAAATTATAAATTATATTAATATATTATACTATAAAATAAATCTTTACACTGATGTTCAATTCAAAACCCTTAAAATGCACGGTCTATTTTTTTGAAGCACCAGTACATTGGTTCTATTGTTTTAAGCTTTAACAATATATTTAGATTTAGATTGTCCATATTAAATTTCTATGCTTTAAATTTTATAAAAAATAGAAATTATTTTTAAAATATTATGCAAAATAAACATATTTTTTATCATATGTTTTATTCTGAAAACATTAATTAAACTTAAAATTATAACACATGGATCAACCATAGTATGCATAACTAATATATATTTATATATAATGAATGATCCATATGTTTTATAATTTTGGGTTAATATGTAATTTAAACCCTAAATTATAGGTCCATAGGTGATTTCAATTCTAAACTTTTAAAAGGTGCATTTTAAACCCTAAATAAAGTTAGAGTAATTTTGCTCCATCATTAGATTTCAACAAACATCTATTCAATTAGGGCCTAATATGCGATTTTTATCAAATTATACTCCCCCTCTCTCTTCTACCCTCATTTGGTGAAAATTATACATTATGCTTCAATTTGACAAACATTTGTCTAAACCTGACGTTCAAAGCAAAATTGTCATAACTTTAATTGTTTAATATTCAAAATACATCTTTTAAAAGTTTAGAATTCAAATCATAGGTTCATGAGTCAAACTGCATATTAATCTTATAATTTTTTATAATTTTAATATTTAATTGATAATTTTCTAAAAAAACAAACGATGAAGAAGTTGAAAATGAGAGCATGTTTGGTTTTTGTTTTCTTTTTTATTTTTAAAAAATATTTTACAATACAGATTTTAAAATTGTTTTCAAAAAGAAAATTTACTTGGTTGTGTTAATTTTAAAAAAATTAAAATTAAAATAAATCAATTGATAATAATAGTTACTGCAATTAATATAATAGTGGTAGCTTATAATATTAAATTATATTAGTCAATATAATTATAATTTTTAATTATTAAGTGTAATGTATTTGATAAAAAATAAAATGAAAATAGTTTTAAGATGTTTTTTTATTTTTAAAATAAAAACGAGAATGATTTTGAAAACAATTAAATTCAAAACACTTACTATCGAAACAAGTTTTTTATTTTTTTATTTTTATAAATAAAAAACTGTTTTTCAAAAACTAAAACCAAACGTGTCATGAAATTGTTTAATATATATACATGGAAATATAATGTTGAATATGATTGTCTCAGAGAGATTGGAACTGTTCTGGACTTGGTGGCTGAATATAAAAGCTTTACAATTACATACATGAAAGCACAATCTCAACCCCATGACGTTGCCAAGTACCAAAGTATTAACATCATACTAAGAACCGCTACTAGCTTGTACCTTGTAGCTTCCGCCAAAAGTGTTCAAAATCTTTTCAACTATTTCTAAATTAAATCAAGCAACACATGATTTAATTATTAATTTACTAAAAAAAAAAAAACATCAAAGTAGTATCAAACATGACAGGACAACAATATTAGACGTTGGACAGTTGGTGCATCCCATATCTGTTAGCTCATCAGCAGTGAACTTTGCTTGCACTTTCAACTCGAAGAGGTTTAGAGATCCTCTGTGCCTGTATTAAGTAATTAATCTCTCTCTCCCATTAGCTGCCACTATCATCATCTTCCTCATTTCTTATATCTGTCCCCGAGGATCGATCAAGACCACTATTGAAAATGAGTATGTACGGGAGGGATCCGTGGGGTGGCCCACTGGAGATTAACGCTACGGACTCCGCCAACGACGACGATCGGAGCCGGAATGTGCAAGATATCGATAGAGCGGCTGTGTCTCGACCGTTGGATGAGACGCAGCAAAGCTGGCTTCTGGGACCGACTGAGCAGAAGAAGAAGAAGTATGTGGATCTCGGTTGCATTATCGTTAGCCGTAAGATCTTTGTTTGGACGGTCGGTACGCTTCTGGTATCTGGCCTCTTAGCTGGCTTCATCACCCTCATCGTCAAGACCATTCCAGGCCACGGCCACAAGCATGGTCCTCCTGATAACTACACTCTAGCCCTCCACAAGGCCCTCATGTTCTTCAATGCTCAGAAATGTGAGTAAGCTATTTGCTGCTGCATTTTTCTGCTATTGTTTTTCCTTCAACTTATAAACAAGCACTGATACTGGTGTACTATAGATTTTTCTGCTGGTTTTGTTTCACTCTGCTCTTAGATTCTATATTATATAAAAAATAATTCAAGATTATTTATTTCTGCTTGCAGCGGGAAAACTGCCCAAGCATAATAATGTATCATGGAGAGGTAACTCATGTCTACAAGATGGCAATGCTGAATCATCAACTATTAAGGATCTGGTGGGTGGCTATTATGATGCTGGAGATGCAATCAAGTTCAATTTTCCTGCATCTTTTGCCATGACCATGTTGAGCTGGAGTGTAATTGAATATAAAGCAAAGTATGAAGCCGCCAGCGAACTCGACCATATAAAGGAGATAATCAAATGGGGGACAGATTACATACTCAAAACCTTCAATAATTCTGCTGATTCCATAACCACACTTGCTGCACAAGTAACATTCTAGAACTCTGTTGGTCTCTTTAGTTTGTTGCTTTTTCTCGAGTTACAAAACCGCGAAACTTGCCATTACAGGTTGGGTTAGGGGATACTTCGGGTGGGAGTACGACTCCGAATGACCATTACTGCTGGATGCGCCCAGAGGACATTGACTATGATCGACCAGTAACAGAATGTAGCAGTTGTTCAGATCTTGCAGCAGAAATGGCTGCTGCTTTAGCATCTGCCTCCATTGTTTTCAAAGACAAAAAAGCTTATTCTCAGAAACTTGTTCATGGTGCCACCACGCTCTTTAAGTTTGCCAGGGAACAAAGAGGCCGATACAGCGCTGGTAGTTCAGAAGCTGCAATATTCTACAATTCCTCTAGTTACTGGGATGAGTTTGTCTGGGGAGGGGCTTGGATGTATTTTGCAACTGGAAACTCGTCTTATCTCAAACTTGCTACTGCTCCTGGCCTGGCCAAGCATGCTGGTGCCTTCTGGGGAGGCTCTGATTATGGTGTTCTGAGCTGGGATAACAAGCTTGCTGGCGCTCAGGTACTTTTCTTATATTATGCCATGCTCAAGCTCTCAAGTGTTTCTCAGTCTGTAATTGATAAATGTGATTAAGCTCAAGATTTAACTACTTTCTAGTTGAATTCCATGACACGTAGTTTCTTGGTTCATGTTTTGTTATTAGGTTCTTCTGAGTCGTTTGAGGCTCTTCTTGAGTCCCGGGTATCCGTATGAGGAGATCTTAAGGACGTTTCACAACCAGACCAGCATTGTAATGTGCTCGTACCTGCCAGTTTTCACAAGCTTCAACAGAACTAAAGGTAAAGAAGATTTCCCTCCTCCAAACACTTTTAGTGGGAAATGAACTTCAATTTTGTTATTCTAACTTGAGTACCGTTATTTGATTATTTATTTTATCAGGGGGCTTGATTCAGTTAAACCATGGTAATCCACAGCCTCTTCAATATGTTGTTAACGCAGCCTTTTTGGCTGCCCTTTATAGTGATTATCTTGATGCTGCCGACACTCCTGGATGGTATTGTGGACCCAATTTCTTTTCAACTGATGTTCTTCGGGACTTTGCCAAGACCCAGGTGCGTGATCTTCCGGTCCTTTACACACCATATTCTGAATCTCTTTCATTAATAATTGAAGTCACTGATCTAACTTTGTGGCTGCAGATTGACTACATCCTTGGTAAGAATCCTCGAAAAATGAGCTATATTGTAGGTTTTGGAGATCGCTACCCAAAACATGTCCACCATAGAGGCGCATCCATTCCAAAGAATAAGGTTAGATATAGCTGCACAGGAGGATGGAAATGGAGGGACACTTCAAAGCCAAACCCTAATACACTTGTTGGAGCTATGGTTGCTGGCCCTGACAAGCATGATGGTTTCCATGATGTTCGTACTAACTATAACTACACAGAGCCAACACTTGCAGGAAACGCCGGCTTAGTAGCTGCTCTTGTGGCACTGTCAGGTGACAAAAGAACTGGAATAGACAAGAACACCATTTTCTCAGCTGTCCCTCCAATGTTTCCTTCACCACCGCCGCCTCCAGCACCATGGAAACCCTGAGATGTCATTTATGATTATCTTCTTTCCAATGAGTATCTAGAATGATGACTTATGTGGAATTGATGATTTTTCAGTTATCCATCAACTGCAAGATCTAATCTTAGTAACTTTGAAGGTGTGGATGGATATGGACTTCAACAAAAGGAATTAGACTTGGCTTGTCTTGTTGGCTAAGCCAATTGTCAGCTCAAGATAGCACTGAACAACCTCATTAGTGGTACTTGAGAGTGTGTTTAAAATTTTGGATGTACTCAATGTGCATGTATGTATGTATTCGTTATACACAACTGTTGAATATTGTTCCACAGTTTTGTCAAATATTTACAGTCACTTTAACTCTGTCCTCGTAATAAATAACTTCCTTCTCTTCTGAAGTTTGGGTTTTCTTATTCTATTGTAGTGGAATATCGTCTTTGAGTTGTTTTCAATTATTGTTGTGCCTCTGAATCTGTCCCGCGCATGCACAAGCAGGGTTGACATAAAGTGATGCTATTTCGAATGCTCTAGTACACAATTTTATATCAGCAATTGTATGAGTGGTTCCATGAGTTCAGCGACTTCAAAATCTCCTCAACGGAGCTTAAAAATTGAGTCTTGTGCAGATGTGCATCTTATGAATCTTTCTTGGTACCAAAGTTGCATTACTACGTATATTTCCTTGGCTTTTGGCGACTATAAAATAAGATTTAGGAGGCATTCAGTACCCAACTATCTTCCATCTTTTATTTAGTATATGATGTCATAGCAGGAAGATGCTGATTTTTGGTGTGAGAATTGAATATTATATTAGAAATGATATAATTGGTCTGGTTCTGGTATATATTAGTATATTAATTGGCCTTTTAACAAAACTAGAACTTAAAGAATGTGCGCTTCCTACAATTTTGGATGGTAAGGGATACTACTTGTATACGCAGTACTCTTCATATTTCAATATAACATGAGGCATCTCAGATTCCACTGTATCAAACATGACATAGGCATTTCGAAATGCCTTTAGACACTCGAGATCTAAGGAGTGAGCATGAAGCAACATCAAAGGACTCGGGTGTTTTTCCTGATATGGCTAGAAATATTTATTTTCCTTGTATTTTATTTTTATATATGTCATATAGTGGACACGCGTGTGAAACACACCATATTTTTACAAAAGGAGTATTCTGTACTTTAGTTATGATGGACACCGAATCTGATTCCCTTTTGCTGTACCAACCTTTTGCTTTCCGAACAAGTTCATGTTATTAGCTTCCATGTTTATGTTTGATCATGAAACTTGACCATCACAAGTAATAAGAGACAGCATACAGCTTCCCAGTTTTGCAGATTGTTGTTTTCTCATCTCCTACACCGTTTAGGCAAACCTAAAAATTGAGAAGAACTGCTTTAAGCCTCTCAAACAGTGAAGAGTTGTGATCAGCAAGATAAATGGAAGACATACATAACGAGTCCTTGGATTACACGCCAACATGGATTGTTGCTATTATCTGCTCCATCATTGTGTTCATCTCTCTTTGCGTGGAGCGTGCTCTTCATAAGCTTGGACTGGTACCAATCTCTTACTGCAATCCTTCTTCATTTCCACACACACCCGCACACATATTTACCCAAATTTTGAGCGTTTAAATGCAATCCGAAAGCATCTAGTGGAGAAGTTTCTTAAAGAAGTAACTTGGCCATCAAGTTGCTGCTGATTCCATGATGGAGATGAAATTACAAAGTCATAGAAATGGGTGAAGTGAAGATGGATTATTATTATGCATGATTTTAAGTTGTTCTTAAATTTCTGAATTGTCTTATGTCTTCTTTTTTTATTCCTTCCTGTTCTGTATCATGATAAAATTCGAAATGAGCACGTACGTGAAAAAGTGAGGGTGGCACCTATTGAGAAAAAATGATAGAAAATCAGTTGAGACGGTTTGGGCATGTACAAAGAAGACCAAGAGAGGCACCAGTGAGAAGAGTGGAACATATAACTTTAAGTCCGATTAAGAGAGGTAGAGGAAGGCTTAAGAGAACACTCTTGGAAGTTGTTGAACGCGATCTCTTAATTAATAATATTCCTAAAAGCTTGATAAATGATAGAGCACAATGGCGTCTTGCAATCCATGTAGCCGACCCCACCTAGTGGGATAAAGGCTTGTTGTTGTTGTTGTTGTTGTTGTTCTGTATCATGACAGGTTGATATTTGTTGGTCTGGATGTAACAGTTCTTGAGGAGAAAAGGTCAAGATGCACTAGATGCAGCCTTGCAAAAACTGAAAGACGGTAAGCATACCTCTTATATATATGAACTGAAAAGGCCTTCAAGATTGAACTGTGAATACAACTCAAACTCAAATATGCCTCGTTATTTTGAACTAGGAGCCGCTAATGTATGTCTTTTTCTAATACTTTTTCTAATGTCCGAACTTCCCCATTTTGCTTTTCTTTTTTTATTTTATAAAATAAAAAATATTTTGATATCTTTAAATTCCGGAAGTGAAGTTTTATATTTTTCACAATTTTTCAAAACTAAAAGAGTGTAATTGTAATATTTTTCTTTAAAAAAATCATGAAAAATACAAAACTTTACTATTTTGATGTTTCAAAATAACAGAAATATCTTTGATTCTATATAAAAACCAATGATCCAAATAAAAAAAAACGAAATCAAAAACTTCAAGCATTATAAAAGGCATTAAGAAAGGCACATTAGAGACCTTCTAACTACATAATTTCATAATTTTCAAATGGATCAAGTATTAAATTTGCTCTAATATGACAATGTCAACAACCAAGTCTTCTAGTTTAAACAAGCCCCAATAACAAGGACAAAACTCTCAATCAACTAATCATTAAACACCATGTCAAGGAATTCTTAGAATTCTTATGAATCTGGTATATGGTTGTTTGGGCTAACCAAAGTGTGCCTAACGTGTGTTGAGCAGAGCTGATGCTTTTAGGGTTCATTTCCCTTCTATTAACTGTGTTCCAAGGTGTGATAAGCCAGATTTGCATTTCACCTCACCTCGTAACCCTCATGCTTCCATGCAAGAGGCATAGTGAGTCTAAGGAAGGTGCAGAGCACTACGACACTATCATCAACAAAAGACGCCTTCTTTCTACGACGTATGGTTCAGGGCATTGCAGAAAAGATGTATGAGAAAGTGCTCTGTTTCTGTTTGTTTATTTATTTTGGGTTATGTCTCATTGTTGGATTCTTTACATTGGATAGTGTACTTCATCAAAAGAGCTTAAACCATTTGATTAAACATATCCCAAGCTTTATATATTCCTAATCTATCTTCTAGTTTTTAGATGTGTCTTTGACTTCTTTAACTCTAATACTCATGTGATGTGAAAGTGATGAAATATTTGGCAAAGCAGGGGAAGGTTCCGTTGTTGTCATTAGAATCACTTCATCATCTGCACATCTTCATCTTTGTGTTGGCCGTTGTACATGCCATATCCTGCGTCATTACACTGCTTCTTGGAGGCGCAAGGGTAATTCATTGCATAAGCATAACATACTTTGGCAGAAAGATTTGATTTTTGTTATGTCCAGTCCAGTAATGAACATGACATGACCAAATTGAGTTCATTTGCCCATGGCCATGAACAGATTCGTCAATGGAAGACCTGGGAAGATAAGATTAAGGCGGAAAAGGGTAATTTGGAATTTTAATGCATGTGAGAAATTGACCTAGTTCTTCAATTGAGATTCTCATGTTAAACTTTTGCTTCTATGTTTCAACTAGAAACTCAAGACCGTCATCACCATGAATTCTTCAAGAAGCATGCTGATGGATTTTGGAGAAGGGCAGCTGTTGTAGGTTGGCTGGTAAGTTTCTGAAACAATCAAGTTTGGTTAATTACACGTAATACTTCTCTTGTTTCTCTAGGTTTAAAATCTTCTAACGTTTATAATTCATGAATTTATGTGAGGTTTTCCTATTTTAATATTTTCTCTCACTTTTTTATTCTTTATAAAATACAAAATTTTCTCTTTCCTTTTCAAAATTTGCAAACTTCACATAAATTTATATATCTTAACTTCAAACGATTTAAATCAATTTCCCTAACCCATTTTCTACCTTGATGTTAATTTTCTACGCAAAGCTATTTCCTCCAGAAAAACATGGAACAGTTTTATCTAATAACATGTCCGTTCGAGAAAAAATAATCACATTTTTATTTTAACGATAATTCATTTTATATTAATTCTTATGTCGAATAACTTTTTTAATAGGTCGTTGAATGCGATTTTCCCTTTCTATTGGAGAAAATAATTAACTAGTGTGTAGGAAGTTGACATTTTTTAACAGAAAAATAAATTGGAGGGAGCATTTTTGCAGGTATTCATTGAAATGTTAGGTGAAACTAGAATTATTCTTTAAATAATAGAAATATAAACTGTAATTTATTCAGATTTTAAGAGAGGTTAACCCAACTTACTCAAAATTGTCATTAACATAAAATTCGTTTCCTATTTAGTTTGGGTGAAATTAATTTTAAAAAAAAAATCATGGAAGTAAATTTCATTTAATTATTAAAAAAACGAGATACAACAAGAGAATGAAACTTTTGAAGGCCCTTGGTGATCAAAAAATTTAGATTATCATATGATATAAGGATCCATTCCATAAATAATTTTATGATAGTTTTGAGGAAGCCTGTATAATATATTACCATTCTTCCGACAAGTTTGGAGCAGTAAAATATAAATTTACTAGCATTATTGACCAAGACAAACATATAACTTGAGCATCATGGAGCATTAATTCGACTCTTGTACCGTCTGATGATAAAGAAAAGTATTTCAAATTGATGGTTCTATACTGACGAAGAGTTTTAATCTGGTTCATGCTGAGTGACAGATAGCATTCTGCAAGCAATTTTATGGCTCTGTTACTGAATCTGATTACATCGCTATGAGGCATGCATTTATCAAGGTTAACATTTAATTACATTATCATTGACTTGTTTAAAAATTTCTCTCTTTCATGCTATTGACTTGTTCAAATATATCCAGTCCCATTCTCATCGATCATCATCAAAATTCATTCTGAATAATTCAGGAACACTGGCCAAACGAACGAGAATTTGATTTTCACAAGTACATGATGAAGACACTTGAAATTGAATTCAGACAAATAGTGGGCATAAGGTGACACCCAATTAACAGCCCCACACAGATATATAATATTTGTTCAGTTGTTTAACTTGACAGTTGATTTTCTATGCTTCACAGCTGGTATCTCTGGCTCTTTGTTGTTCTCTTTTTGTTGCTCAACATTGCAGGTAACTAACTTATCTTCAACCACACAGGGTTCAGACATATGCAAGTGTTCATATTTCCTTTGAATCGATTTCATTTCAACATTGAAATTATTTGAAGTCTTTGTTGAAAAATGCCTTTATTTTAACCACTTGTGAGCTCGTTGTGTAGGGTGGCACACTTACTTCTGGTTAGCTTTTCTACCGCTTATAGTAAGTAACTGAGATTCTTCCCTTTCTTTTTTCGTTTTTGGCAGAATTTCTTCCTATCTTCATTGAACACTGACAATACATCATTGTGCAATGTAGAACGATCAACTTTTAGGTTTAAAAGTCTAAAAGAATAACATGTTCGAAAATCCTACAGAAAAGCTGACTTAAGTTGTGCCTAAAGACATTATTCTTAAGAGCTATTCTACTATGTTGGTTAAATTGTGGCAACTTCCAAGATTAAACGAACCCTACCTGCAAAAAAACAAGATGACAAAATAGCAAAAATACAGAATAGCTCAGGAGAAGCACAAGGAAGGGAGGAGAGAAGAGTTCCCGCAAGCTCAGGACAATGCAGTGAAACTTGAGACAACCACTACCTTTTATAGGCAAAAATGTCATATACATTGGGCAATAAAACACCTATTAATGACACCATAGTACAAATAAAAAACAGTTTCAGACAAAAATGAGATTTAACATAAAATAAATAGACTTAAATAGTGATTAATATTATTAGTTAAAATAATAATTCCTTTTGAAATATTATCAAGTTACACTTGGATGAGTGAATTTGGATTGAAAATTTGAATTTGAAATCTCACATTTAAAATTCATATATTATAAATTCTTTGTTTAGATTATATAAAAAATTTTAAATTATAATATTAAAATTCTTTGTTTGAATCTTAAGTAAAATTCCAAATTTCAAATGCTATGTCTAAATTTAAAGACAACTCAAATGACATTGGTGATCCAATGCTAGTCAAAGTTAAAGGTCTAGTCCCGCTCTGGGGTGGCAACAGTTGATTGAGACCAAGACAAGACTACCAACACCGATTGGAACCAAACTATTTGCTTTGACCGGGACCAAACTGCCAATGATGATTGAGAACAAACCGCTGACTTCGACCAAGACCAAACCACCAACTTCTACCAGGACTGGACCTCCGACGCCTACTGGGACCTAACAGCCCTCACCTAAAGGATGAGACCATAGACATCAATCTGAACAAGACCACCACAACTTATTGGAATTGGTCTACCAATGCGTTTAGTCTCAATCTCAGCACTGATGGTCCGGTCTTGGTCAAAGTCAGTTGATTGGCATATGTGATCCAGTCCCAATTGAAGTTGATAGTTCAATCCCGATCGGCCTCTATGGTCCGGTCTCAGTCAATGCCGGGGTCTATTCCCGGTCAGCGTTGGCTATCCAGTCCCAGTCGATATTGGCGGTTCGGTCCCAGTCAGCACCAGTAATCAAGTCTCGGTCAGTGGCTGCAATCTGGTCATGGGCGATAATGGTAGCTGCATTTGGCATTAGACCATTCCCAATTAACAGCAGTGTTTGGTGCTGCACAAAAAGGGAAATTGGATCACAGATGGTGATCACAGACCAGTCCCGAATGGCAGAGGTGAACTGGCATCGGATGACAAAGGTGACAATAGACTGCCATAAGGTGGTGGTGGAGGGTGATTAAAAGTAAATTGAAATTTGAAATTACACAAGAATTTTATTTAAGTACCAAATCCATAAATTCTCATGGATTCAAATAATGGATTTGGCTCAAATCCAAATCTATATACATCCAAATATAATGTTAAATAGTTAAAATATCCAACATATATGAGGTGTTTGGTTTACATTTTCATATGCTCGGAAGGCCTTTTGCTAACAGAATAAGTTAGGTTGTTAGAATCACTGAAGATAACATCTTGTTTGTATTCCTATAATATATAAAATACACGTTGGACCTGTAATGTACTATGTTTCTGCTGGAATAATAAAATTTTTTTTGTAAAGAATTATAGATTGAGGTGGTGTGATTGATATATGTGAACAGCTTCTGCTACTTGTGGGGGCTAAGTTAGAACACATAATTGCCCGCTTGGCTCAAGAGTCAGATCAGAAGAGGGAAGAGGAACAGCAACATCATCAAGAGAAAGAAGCAACAACAAAGCAAGTGAAGCCTTCTGATAAATTCTTTTGGTTCAATAGCCCACGCCTTGTCCTTGACTTAATTCACTTCATCTTGTTCCAAAACGCTTTTGAGATAGCATTCTTCTTCTGGATTTGGGTGAGTCATCAGGCAGGTCCTTACAGTGAACAAGATTGCATTCTTCTTCTTCTCTTAACATTTATGTTCTCTCATTTCTTTGCAGTTCATTTATGGATTTTATTCCTGCATTATGGAGAAAATAGCTTACGTCATCCCAAGACTTATAATGGGGTAATATATGTATACACACTCACTGAAAGTGAAAGCCAAATCAATCCTACTGCTTTACTCATCACTTGTTGTTTCTGGTGGCTCGCAGTGTAATTGTCCAAGTGCTTTGCAGTTACAGCACCTTTCCTCTTTATGCAATTGTAACTCAGGTTGGTTATTACATTATTCATTGAAACAGATAAAGCCTAATTTCTGCTCTGATATGGTTGTTAAACTCTTTACATTAAGAGTATGTTTGGATGAGACTCTAACTGAGATTTGGAGGATTCTAACTGAGATTTGGGTCTAAAAAGCTCATTATGTTTTGTTTGGTTTAAAAAATTTGGAAAAGAACTTTTATCCTAGAACTTAGACCAGAAGCTAATGATTCTGGCTTCTAGCGTTGCATTAGTCCCATCTTGATAGCATGCAATGCAATGCTACTTACAATTTTTTTAGCACTTGTTAATTACGATCATGTCCCTTGTCCACTCTGGTTGACATTCATACTCTCTGAATAATTTTGGCCTCTACTATCTATATTTTTTAACTTGAGAAACTATTTATTTGGTTTTTATTTCAGTTGTTTTCTTTTTCTTTTTTTCCTATTTTTTTGGGTATTTCTAGACTATAACCAGATCTAGAATGACTTTTTTATTATGCGTACACAGGATTATTTTCGTTTTTTTTATAATTTAATGTTTTGTAATTTGTTAATTTACTTTGGAATTTTATAACTTACAAACAATAAATTATATATGATCTCCTCTTTTTTAATTATAACTTAAACTTTAATATTTTTCATTAAAATATATACAAGAAAACTTATGCCCATTTTTACCATTATACATCTTAAGTGGATTTTGAATTAAATCATTTAAATAAATTTCAGTTTGTCCAGCTGTCTTTTTTGAAAGAAAAAGATATCTAAACATAAATTACATTATAGTCATAAACTTTTTTCCTAACCTCAGTTAATTGCCAATTTCAATTGAAAATTTTTTAATTTAAATACACACTAAGTATGTTTAAGAGTAGTATGTATCACTAAAATAGTTTAAACCATTTGATTAAACATACTCAAAACTGTCTCAAGTACACAATGTTAAACTCTTTCTTTTGAGGATACTTGATATTAGTTTACTTTAATAAAATAGCTTAAATTATTTAGCTAGACACATCATAGATATATTTTAATTTTTAGACATGGAAATTCTTTGATTTCTTTATTTCCGATAATGGTGATCACTGACAAACCCGTCTAATCTAAGCTTGTGTCTCTTGAATGAAGATGGGTTCAAGGTTCAAGCGGGGAATGTTCAAAGAGCATCTTGAGGATGTTCTCATAGAATGGCGGCGGCGTGAACGGAGCAAAGATGGTGAGCCCGCTGCTTCTTCTGCTACAAACATCGCCGTATAAGAATCAGATGCATCTACTCATAGATTGCAGCAAAAGATTCTCATTTTATGCGAAAACAAGCTTGTAATATAAATTATCAGGTTAAACTGTATTTTTACCTCTGAATATTTGTTCGGGAAGCAATTTTTTTACTGTATTGATAAGTAAAATAATTTTATTTTTAAATTAATTTTTTAAAAAGTAAAAAACTCTTTTAGAGTAGGCCTAGCATTCCTTAAAAAATAAGTCAAGAATAAAATTATTCACTTATCAGTAAAAAATAAAATTGCTCCTCAATAAAAAATTTAAAGCTAAAAGTATACTTTAACCTTAAATTATTTACACGGATATGTGGATTATTTTTTTTTTCCAGTGATATATGGATTATTCATTATAGCACTTGAAACAAATGAAAACAGTATTTAGATATTTCATGATTTTTCAAGTTTCAACCTCTTCTTGGTAATACTCTTCTCTCTATTTTTTTTTTTTCACTTAATAGACAAAATTTTAGACAGTAGTATGTTTCTATTTACTCCCTCCATTTAAATTTTTTAAAAAAAATTAAATGTTTAAAAATATACTCTCTTCGTTCGAAAATGTAAGACATTTTTAACTGAATCTCACTTCTCAATAAAATAGTTACTTACTTTCAAACTAATTCTATATTTTCATATTTAACCCTATTAAATATTTTATAATAAATATAAAATCATTATCAATAGGGACACTCTTGAAAAAAAAAACAATAATTACACCTCAAAAAACTAAAAACTCCTTACATTTTTAAATATCAACTTTTCAAAAAAAATACCTTATATTTAAAAATGAAGGGAGTAAGACATTTTTAATATTTTAAAATATAATTATTATATTTTTAAAAAAATCCTTAATAAATAAATTATTTTACCTTTATTTCAAAATAATCATTTTATTAAATAAAAATAAATATAAAAATATAATATTAATTTAAAAATAATTAACTATTTTATTAAAGTAAAAATCAATTAAAAATACCCTATGATTCTTGATTAAGAGAGTATAAGATAAATTACAAATTTTGAAGTGTGTTTAACATTTTTTCTAATGTGTCGACAAAGCTCCTCTCTAAATATTAAAAGATGATGGCCCTTCATAGCAATTTTTCCCCAAAAAAAATAAATAAATAAATAAAAGGAATGGCAACGGAGGCATCATCAGCAGATTTATCTTTAGAACTTGCACAACTGTTCTTCTTGTCTTACAACATTGATGAACTATAACTACTTTTGTTTCTCTATTCGACTTCCTAATTACAGGTCATCTATCATCATAGGTCACAAATATAGGCAGAAATGAAAAGAAAATTACAATAAAAATTTGACACCGCACCAAATTTTACAGAAATGAATATACAGAATACAACAGCATCATGAAATATTGAAACTGTGCTGCTTAGGCCCCTCAAGGGGAAGCTTCTCCATCTCAGAACCAACATTCACGGAGACAGAAGAGGCAGCTTCCTGCTCAGCAGACTCTGCCATTTTCAGTTCATTCAAAGTCCTTTTGGCATACACAGTGAAGACAACAATGGTGACTACTGCAATTATGAATGAAATAACGTTGTATACAATTTCTACGGTCGTCATGTGATACTTCCCGTACTGTGCATCGGCCAAGGTCCTTATCAATCGACCGCTATGAGAAAATAGATGTTGACAAGTTATAAAACAAGAAAACAGGATAATTAATTGGTAAGCGTTTGGTATGAGGAGGGAAGCAGATTCTCCCTCTACTGCTAGAAATATTAGCTATACAATGCATGTGATGCTATCATTAGTATTTCTATATATGCCTATCCTCCAAGAAAAATGACATTTAAGGCCCTCTAAAAGAAATTTATCGCAATAAAGGTTCATTAGTTTTACATCGGATATTATCATGTAAAAATATGTATATATTATTGTTAAAAGTCAAATCTTAACTTATTAATTTTTTAAGGAAACCCTAATAAGGAATGCAAGTTTAAGTTCAGCTTTTAACAACATATACATGTTTTAACACAATAATACCTGATACAAAACTGATGGGCCCTTCTTGCGATAAATTTTCTTGAGAGGACCTTAAATGTCATTCTATTTTACTATTACCTTTTTGAGTCAGGGCAAGAAGATCATATATAATGGGGCGAGATATTAGCACAATGACATAACAAGACTTGAAGTGTAATGCGTCATGTATTGCATAATGTCCCATTGTGCTTGCTATGATTTAGGTTAAGGTGCAAAAATACTCAGATATTATTTTCTTCAAAAACGTCTAGTATCTTTAAGTTAATAATGGTACATGAGTACCTATTCACTTTATAAAAGAGACCAACCTTTCCCAACATGTTAAAATAGCATGGCATTGACCGTTAAGTTCTAAGGATGGAACTAAACGGATTGGGAAAGGTTTGCAACTTTAATAAAATTAATGTATACCTATGCACCATTGTTGACTCAGGGATATCAAAAGCTCTTGGGGAAAAAAAATCTGAGTATTTTTGCACCTTAACTCATGATTTTTTTGACACGTTAGAAAATGACATGGATCTTTCTGCAAGTGTCCAGGCTTCATGGCAAGGAAGAAAGTGAAGTGCTATTAATCAATAATTTTTCCTTCTTTCCTAACTTCACTGTATTATTAATGAAAATGAGGAAAAAAGAACAGAACAAACCTGTAGATGTAGATGAAAGCTTCTGGAACCATTCCAGTTATTGATCCAAGTAAGTAGGGCCAAAAGCTCATGTTTGTTACCACTACTGCATAGTTGAATATAGTATAGGGAAAAGGTGAAATCCTAAATAAAGCAACCACGCGAAATTGATCGAACCAGCTCCCTTCCCCGGCAAGCCTAATAAGTGCAGCATTCTGAGGCCATCTCTTTAACCATTGCTGCACAACAAAGCCAAAGATCGCAAGTGAACTAGTGAAGACAACGCAAACACAAAGTCTATGTATATTTAAAAACAAATAAACCAAAAATCTGGAGCTAAAGTGCCATTGGTTAAAATGTAGAGACTTACATGAATGCGGTCACGGAACAATAATCCAATTAAGTAAGGAAGGACCATCCCAATCGTTGTTCCAACCATTATTATAACAAAGCCAAGGCCGTAACCAAAAATCATCCCAGCCAGCCACATGGAAGGGCCAGAAGGGATCAAGAACACCGGGAATAAAGCTAGAGAAGCAACAAGTACTAAGGCTAGAACTGGACGGCCAAAGGCAGAAGCTTCCCACTCCATTATTGGGTAAAGAATCTACAATGAAAAAGATAAAGCTTCAAAATATCAATCGGTCATTCAAGCATTTCCTTCATTCCAAAAGAAGTAGAATATTTTAAACATGCTTGAGGTGGGTCTTAATGAAAAGTGAATCTAATATAGTTACATGCCATTTCATGATTGGCATGGTCCATAAATCAATTTAGACAGTGCCGATAAGAATTTCTCCTAAATTATATAGAGATTGATTGGTTTCATATTGACGTAATATAATCTCGAAAGAGCAAAATCTCAGCAAGTGTATGTACTAGAAAATGTAAATGCATGCATTAATTTGCAAAGCAGATGGAAAAGTCTATTGTTTTTGTCTAATTCTTGAAACCCACATCTCAGAGGAAATATGTAAATTAAAGCAAAATAGTTGTAATGAAAAAGGAAGTACCTTCTCAAAAACAAAGGGAATCCCCCATTTCACGAGAACAATGGCAAGTATAACAGTCACAAGGCACCATAAAAAGACTTTGATCCACCACAACAAAGATTTGACTCTTGTTTCTGCTTGAGGCTGCAATGCTTCAGCTTCAATAGCCCTTGGCTCATCAGATATGACCAATCTAACATACTCACTATTCCTCCTTACATGATGCCCTGAGTTTGAACGCTTTTCCAACTCCTCTGATGGCTCTGGTGTCATCATAGGAATGACAGAAGCCTACAAAAAAAGAACATATGCATTAAGCATAGATTAAATGAATCAAAGTTCAAAGCATAAACCCAATATTACAGATTAAAATTAAGTATGGAGATTCAGGTTGCACATAACTGCTAAAAAAAACAAAAGTTAAGGCCAGGAGTTTTTTCTAACCTTGTTCCAGCTAATTAACAGTACATATTGTATATTTGTATGGCATTACAGGAAGCAGCAAACAACCAAGAATAAAAAAAAGATTACCAAAGAAGAAAACTATATATATACATATACAGTTTTTTCTTTATCAAATTTTCAATGGCTTTCACAAATTTTGAAAATTCTGATATCCAATTGCTCACGTGTCTAGAACAAGAGCAAAAGGACCAATACTTGTAAGGTTTCATCAGGGAATAAGAAAATGTAAGGGAAAGAAAGATTTCAATGAAAACTAGTTCAATCTAAGGAGAGAAGAGAAGGAAAGATTTTGAACTAACCCACCAAAATCTTCCCTCCTTTATAACTGTAAGTTTCCACGGACCAGATGCCAAAATCAAAATTTACCCTTTCCGAGGTCAAATACTAAGGCAAATTGGGCTTTTCTCGATCAGGTCCCCTTTTCCCATCCTTGAGGGACACAGACTTAACAGCTGAAATTCCCTTTAGGCATCAACATCTCATCTTGTCAAGGTACTTCTATGGACTAAATCCCACATACGTGGGTTTGGTCCTTCAAGGCCTGCTAGAGAACTCTTCAACCTGCTTATGGCTAGATCAACCGGTTTCAGGTCAACTAGGAAGAATTAGTTGATTCCACCTCTGAAAAGTGCCTTCACCAAATGGCTTAAGCTGCTTTTCCCATTTTCTCGCTGACCCATCATGCAAAAGGTATGCCATTTTTGAGGGACTTTACAAGAGAAAATTTTGTCAAGCCTGGGGAAGAAAATTTTCCGTTTATTCATCAGTTCCCTTACCTTTCTTCTAGTTTTCTTGGCTCCCTTCTCTTTCCTTTCCCTCCCAAATTGAAAACATTACTAAGCTCTTGTAGGAATCAGTCAACGTAAATTACTTCATTCTATAGGTGGAATATACTTGCAACAAGCACCTTATAAATATGTTGAACTAGCATCAGAAAACAACCTATTCTAAGATGAAACTCTCGTTCATTGATACTGTAAGAAACTGTACTTCCTAATTAACTCAGTTCATGAGATGCAAGGCTAACAGCCAGAGTTTAATAACAACAACAACCAAGCATTATCCCATGGAAAAATCTTAATACGCCATGTGATTTCCTAATTCCCGTACAAACTAAAACTCATTCATGTATGCATTATGGGCATGTATGTTGAAGCTTTCTTGCTGGAAAACTACTGAGTCTTACATGCATCACTCCAAGAAACATTATGCGCACTAGAAATTTTAACTTTCAGATCCATACAGTCAGCCTCAAAGCTCAATTTCTAAAAGTGAAACCCTGAGAGAGAGAGAGAGAGAATTTAAAGTGACTTAAATATATGAACGGGACTTCAGATATTCAGAGGAGAGTAGAGAGGAAGGAATCCAAAGGAAAAGGAATGATAGAGAAGAGCGTAAGACATGGTTTAATGACAGTCTCTCGTCCCCCTTGTTTTAGGAAACTTCCTCCGCCAAAATCCCCTAAATTAAGGGAAGAGGGTTTGGGAGGTTGGCTGAAAATCTTTCAAAATCCCCAAAATGAAAGGGTTTTGGTGAAACATCTACCTTCCACTACTTCACCTCCATAATTCTCATCCAAACATGCCATTAAGAAAATCTCATGCCACAAGAACGTAGACAGTCTCAAGATTCCTATTCTCAAAACAACTCTCAAAGAATTAATCCACCAGCCTTCTATTCGCAGCGGAAGAAAAATAAAAGCCCCCAAGAACAGTTCAATCAATACAAATAGAATTTAAAATCAATTTCCAGTGTCTAAAAATTACCTTTGAAAACCTAGAGATCCTCTAGTTCCAATTAAGAGCTAGTCAGGCCTTCTGACTCGGCTAATATCCCTAAAAGTGCAGCCTTTATCCCCCCTTTCAGCAGTAATTGGCCTATTTCAAAATTATTAGACATTATAACACAATCTTTAGCTCCAATAGATTTTCACAATAATTTATCCTAATTGTATTTACTTCATACCCATTCACCACCCAGCTGCTTATTGTCTCAACCCAAAATCCGCAAACAGAAAGGTCCGTTATGGACCAACATAAACTAAGAACAAAATCTTCGCTTTGTTAAGTAATTAAGTTGAAAACAAAAAGCCCTCTCATGAACAATAAACTCAAGAAAATTAAAGAAAGCAGTAAATAGACAGCTGAAACCGCATAAAGAAAGCAGTTTTGCAGCGAAGAAGAAGAGGGCTTTGTCTTTGGGATAAATTTCCGAGAAGTTTGGAATACCTTGGTGTCTCGTCGGAACAAGCCGCCGACCACCGTGGCGGCGGAGGAGCTCGAAGGGTGCTTTTTGTTGTGTGCGATTCTGACAAAGACCGAAATGTTCCACTCACCCACCACTCGAAACAACAAACTACCTTCGTTGTTTGCGCCAATGTCAATTTTTTACCTTCGGATTGCGAATTTGGAAGTTGAAATTTTTTTTTCTGCTGAGGACCATCACGATTCACGAGTACGAAACTTCAAAGTTCAAACTTCAAACTCGAACAGCTTTTTCTTTTTCTTTTTTTTATACTTGTCAACTTTTTTGAGCCAAGAAATCGCATGAAAGTATGAAACAACGAATCAGATTAAGGTCCCTAAATATCAATTAACCAATTCTCAGGTGCTTAATAAAAAATTTTAAAAAATAAATCACGTAACGATTCAATATGTTATTAATGTTTAAGTTTTTAAATATAATTTAAAGTTTGCAGCTAAGATGTCTTTGGCTTTTAGAAAGGAATTAAATTAAATGAATTGAAAAAAATTAAAACAAAAATAATTAAATCACTTTTTATTGTAATACGTGCTATAAATGTGGGAAGTATAATACTCCTTACAAATTTTATAAATCATAATTTTTAATTTTATAAATTAAATTATTTTTTTAATAAATATATTTACATATTCTTTTTAATTATTTTATTTTTATTTTTATTTTTTATTTATTTTTTTTAATAAGCAAGGAGGGACCTAAAGTTTAGGTTTATAACTATATAGATTTAGATTGATTTTTGTAAATTATTTAATTATCATTGAATTGATATGTAAATCGTAAATGTCATTGTCCCTTGATAACATGGAGAATGATGGCCGGTCTTAAAAAATTAAATTAAAGACAATTGAACAATTGATAAATTTTAAAAAAAAGTATAAATATAAATTTATATGCATAAATGAAAATCTCAATTATAATCTTAAAGTTATATTTAAAATTTAAATATCTATTCTTACACTTGAAACTTTTTAATTGATAATTGTCTAAATTAATATTTTTAACTTATTTTTTGAAAACATTTGTTGAAGATCTACTTGCTGTTAATTCAATTCTAGATTAAAGTACAAATTTGTCCCCCAAACTTCTCATATATGCACAATTGGTATTTGGAAATATTTTAACTATTACCCTGATGTTTTTAAAAATTGAACAATGTTCTCCTGAAAATGACAAACTAACCATGTTGACCTACGTGGCGTGCCAGCTAAGTAGGGTTAGATCAGCAAACAATCAACATCTTCATTCCATTGGATGAAGGCAATATGAAATGGAATAAAATGAAATGTCAAGACAACATTGTTCCATTTTTAAAAATGCCACAGTGACATTATACTAAAATTCTTTAAAATATCAGTTGCACATGCAGAAAAACTAATTAATGGACAATTTTGTACATTAACCCTTTAATTTTTTAGATTTATTAGGGCTCATTTGTTTATTGAAAAACAATGTAATGAAATGCATTAAAAAATAAAGATAAAAATATAATGATCAAGGCGTGAGATAGAAATAAATGAATCATATTCATAAAAGAGGATGAGTAATTTAACTTATGAAATTGAGAATTATAATTTTAAAATTTGATGTGAGTGCAATGAATCTTATATTTGAGATATGTGGTAATGAATTTTTTTTATACTTATCACGAGGGATTAAATAATTTAGTTTTTTTAGTTCATTATGTTTCATTCATTTCCTTTCTAACGAGCAAACAAGCCATTATTATCCTTTTTAATATTAGTATCTAAATACTATAAATATTAAGTTTTTAGAATTAGATTGAACAGATTGATTCAACCAATTCGATCAAAACCAGCCTCTAGTCTGGTCTCTCAACCCTACAAATCCAATAAAAATTGAACCAGTCAAAATCAATAAAAATTGATAGAAAATTGGTCAAGAATTGAATTTCATATTTTTTAAAGAAAATATCAATATTCCAAAACTATTTAATTTTGTAATTTTATTTCTCTTGTCATTAGTTTTTCTTTAGCATTATACATACATACATAATGATTATTGAGATAATAATTATTTCAGATAATAATAAAAGCTTATATTGGTTTGATTATTGAGATATACATGATGATTTTAATTATGTGTAAGTAATAAAAAAATAGTTTTGTTATACTGTTGGTGTAACTGACTATGAATTTAATATGTATGATAATAATATATTGTCCAAAATACTTTCATTTTTCATACATAATATTTAAAGTTTATTATTTAAATTGAGACCATCAAACCACAGTTCAATAAACAAGTACCCTAATTAGTTTAATGCTTAACAACATTGATAAATATTAGTAGAGTCGGTAGTTCAAGTATGGTGGCCTTAATTTAAGTTGAGTTTATTTAAATTGAGTTTTAAATACTCAAATATATAAAAAAAGGAAAAATAACATCCAAGAACCTCAATAGTAAATTAATATCAGTTAAGAATCAATTGACTATTGCACTGCAATCCATTGGTCCTTAACTAATAATTAATTTTTAAAGTTAAAAGTCCAAACTGCCCCTCTAATTAAAAAAATAAAAAAAGAAACCCCCACTGTTGGTCCTGGCGAGGTCGTTAGCGGTCAGTTACTAGAGCCTTGACACCCGCAATATTTTTATTTAAAAAATAATTAATTTAAGTGGCAAAGAGAGGGTTTTATCTCATGATCCTTAGCCACTTAAAAAGCTTGACTCCCTTTAATTATATATAACAAAAAAATATAAGTAATAAACCAAGCTTCTAACTACTTTTATGTTATAACATAATGATGTGTTATTAATTTATGAACAAAACTTTTTATTTTATAAATGTTACTTATTAATCTGACATGGATAATTACAAATTAAGAACTTTAAAACTTCACGCATTTTAATTGTTAAAAGTTTGAATGTATTATTGTTAATCATACATAGGTTATTGTTAAAACTCAAACAGATATTCGTTAATGAATGTCTAACACATACAACTAAAAACAATTTATCAGTTTTTCAAGCTTGTTAAAGCTAAAATAGAGTGTTGTTAATTTTGAATAAATTATTATGAAAATTTAAATATACGCTTATTGATGAAGGACTTACACATATGATTAAACCCATCTTATCCGTTTTTCTAATTTGTTGAAACTCGAATGGACTATTATTAATTTAAAATAAATTTTTGAAAAAACTTGAATAGATACTAATGCATACAATTATACTCATTCTATATGCTTTTCTAGCTTGTTAAAGCCCTAATGGACTATTGTTAATTTAAAATAAGTTGTTGTCAAAATTTGAATAGATATTTATTGATAAAAGACTAACATGTACAATTATGCTCATCTTATATGTTTTTCTAACTTGTTAAGGCCAAAATGGATATTGTTAATTTAGAATGGCTTGTTTTTTATATACTTGTTTCATTAAACATGTGCTTTTTATCATCAGCATCAAATATCCATTCAAGTTTTAATAACAACTCATTATAAATTAACAATAGTTTATTCAAGCTTTAACAAGCTAGAAAAGCATATAGGATGGGCATAATTATATGTGTTAGTCTTTCATTAACAAGTATCTATTCAGGTTTTGATAATAATTCATTATAAATTAACAACACTCTATTTAAGCTTTAACAAACTAGAAAAGCAACAATCATTAGACCTATACTTTTAATCATGAATTATAAGTATCTATTCAAATTTTGACAATAATTCAGTCTAGATTAACAACAGTCCATTTGAGCTTTAATAAGCTAGAAAAATGAATAAAATAGGCTTAATTATATGTGTTAGTCCTTCATCAATAAATGAACATTTAGGTTTTTACAAAAATTCATTCAAAATTAACAATGCATGTCGCACCCGAAAAAATGCGATGCGGACGGCACGCGAGAGGAGGTCCCGACCTTTCCAGCGCGAACCGCACGGAACGAGGAGTCGCCACCAAGATTTTGAGGTAAATCTCGAGAAACCTTTTAAAAAGAGGATAAGGTTGGTCTGCAAAATCAGAGAATAAGTTCAGGAGTCAATTGAGTGTAAGGAAGGTGTTAGGCACCCCACAACACCTGTTCATCAGAACGGTTACCTGAAGTTTGCTGTGCTCTATTAATATGATTTTATAATTATTTTAATTATCCCTTTTATATTCATGTGTTTGATAAAAATGATAAGAATTAAGTGAGAAATATTTATTTATTTACGAGGGAGGACGGACTTGACTTAAAATCTGACTCTAAGGCGTATATACCCTGTGATAGGGATTAAAATCCACGTAGTTCGGGCTTAAAAGTTTGTTGGTGAAAATATTTTTTGAAGAGAAATTAATTAGAAATAATTCACCATTTTACAAATAAAATAATTTCTGAAATTTTGATATGTGTGTTTTAAATTACAAAAGGTAATTTAATTTTAATTATTTTCTCCATTTTTGAATATTTAATAAAGAAAGGAAAGGGTTTAAAATTATTTTTCTTTATATTTTATGATTGGAAATTTAACTATTATAGCTGCAGAGCCTTATTGGTTCATATGGTAATGCAATTGTTCTAAATATCTACGGAGATTCTGAAATCTCACACGATAAAAGAATTTGACAATTTATTTTTTTTTATATTCTTATGTACATTTTTAAGTGTTGATAATAATTTTTTTAGCATGTAGATACATGTTTTAAAGAATTTTAATCATCATACCTGTATAGCCTTATTGGCTTATACGGTAATATAATTATCCTAAATATCCACGGAGATTCTAAAAATCTCACATAATAAAGGAATTAAATTTAAATATGTCTTTTAATTTAATTAATTTAATATATAATTTATATGTATATATTCAAAACTTAATCGTTATATCTGTATAGTCTTATTGACTCATACGATAATATGATTATCTTAGAAGTCTACAAAAATTCAAAAATCTCACATGACTAAAAGATATAATTGGTGAATATAATTACAATTTAAATACATTAATTTGATTAATTAATTTTCTAAGTTGTGTTATATGATTATTTGCAAAAATCATTTATTTATTATAAAAATTGAGAATCACTATATCTGCGAGGACTTCTTATCTCACACGATGATATGATTAATTTAAGTCTCTACGAAGATTCTTGAAATCTCACATGAGACTTGAATAAATTATTAATCTGGGTTATAACAAGAGAGATAAATTTAAAGATGGGCCCTTTAAACCCATATTAACATATAAGTTTTACTCTCATATCTGCGAATCCTTATTGATTTACACGATATGAGATTATCTTGAA